GATGGATCTCTTAATAAGGGCCATTACGTGAGATATATATATGTATAGACATCTATGGCCATACATGGATTAACTGGACTGAGACAAGAACTCATGCCATGTGGCCCATCACCATACGCATGATGTAATGGTGAGCACACTGGACTTGGAATCCAGAGATTGCTGATCCAATTTTGGGTCTCCCAGCAAGTCAGTTGAAACAATGACCCAGTTTTATTCAATGTCCCCGCCTCTGTCCACTTGGATCAGCAGGTCCATTCTGGTGGCCAGTGTGGCAGAGTCGGCAAAGATGCCCTCTTGAGGGGTGGTGTAGTTCTCATTCTAGTGGAGACCCTTGCGCCAGTAGTGGCGAGAGCCAGAAATTGCAGGGCTGCACCAACTTTTTTACTGCTCAAATGTATTTGAAAACTTTTGTGCACGATTGTTATTGTTTTAATAATGGATAGTCCATTTTATTTGGTTGTCCCAAGATGTCCATGCCTCTTATTTGGCCCGTGTCTCTATATGTGGCTCTTTCCAAGTACATCCAGCCTCATGGATTGTCACTGTTTCAAGTGAGTTTATGTCCTGGTGAGGATTAGTTAGTGTTTATGGTTGCCAAAGGTAATATTCATAGCCACCTGTAATGGAAATCTGGTCATATGTTGGATCATAGTACTTAAAAGCAAACTTCTGAAGTGATTACAATTCATGCAAGTTTTTTCATATTTTAATAATTATTGATCCCCAAAAGGAGGTACTATAGGGTGGATTTTTAAAATCTTAACCATGAAATCACATCCTTCACATAAGCAATAATTTGCAACCCATCGTCAGTATGCTGTTGGATTAATGCCTCCCCAAGCCATGTGGGTCGTGGGAATTGTTTGACCATAGTTTGGGTTTGTCAAAGGGTGGCCCAGGACCGGTTCAAATATTGCTCACCAAGAAATATTTGCAATGGTCCAGGATTCCAATTTTGGTCGCTGGGTTCATAGTGCAATGCACGAACCACTGCAACACCACTCGACCGCTCCTTTACATCATCATTTTACTACATTGGATTTACATTAATTTTTATCTGACTTTTGTGTGCGTTGCGGAAATCGTGAGGCCATGACTCGCCTAACATTTCTTTATATGCCTAGTTGATGGGGACAGTTTAATGAAAATTACCTCCTAGTATTGAAAGTATTATTTTTGCACATTTAATTGTAATATCAATGAATGCACATTTATACAAAATCAGCTTATGTATAGCAGTCAGTACCGCCGTTCTAAACACTACAGTTGTTGCCGACTGGTCCTAGTTTTGTGTACTGCCGTCAAACAGATGCCACTGAATCTCCGATGTTACAAATCCTTTTGTACAGAAGGCCACGTGTGAAATGTACATCACTAATATGTATGTTTTAAGTATTTCTGTGCAACTCTGTGGAATAGTCAGCTGCCTATAAAGTATGATCTTTTACACTATTCTATAAAGTTTCACCTTTTACACTATTAAGTGGACTTTATAGTATTTAAAATGACCTGTAGAGGGCGATGGTGCCATGTCAGAACATATTGAAGTGGCTGATGGTACTTTGAGAAGAATACGCTCTTGAACACTAAATGTACGACAGTGTTTCAGTAAAAAAAAATATGCCATTCATGTTGTGAAGATAGAGCTAACGTTCTATATATTTTAGGATTCGAAAATAGAACAGTTATTTGAAGAAAGGATTGGTTATATGCTTGAGTGTTAGCGAGGATCTCTGTAAACACACCAAGTATAACCACCACGCAACACCAAGCACAGCGTTCGTCCTGAAGTATTTCAATTCTTTACTCGATGGGTTTGAGGCCAGGTATTATTTTCTGTGTGAATTCCTGGCTGCACCGGTGGCAGGGAAATTCTCCGCACAGTGGAGGTATTTTCAAAACACGTCCTGAAGGTTTTTGTAACGACTTGTGCCAGATTTCACAGATGAGACATTTAATTTAATTTGCACGTTCTTTTACTCAGTATTGCATGTCTGCCTTAAGTTATAAACAGCGTGTGTTTGTGTGTATATATATGTGTGTATGCTTTTTAATTGACGTCTTGTTTGGTATTTATGGTGTATTGCTTAAGGGACACTATGGGTCTTTGTGGAGGAAACACAAACCCAGTTGCATGCAAGTGTCGTTAATCTATGAATTGTTTACACTCAGGTTTCCCAAACGTCATGCCTTGTGCCCTCCCACGTTCACCAGACTATGTTCAGTCTTTATTCAAAGGCAAATTAATTGCACATCGCAAGATTGACACAAGTCAACACGAACCTTTCCTCCATTTGAAGGTCGGAACGGCTGCTGAGAAAGCCAGGTGACTCGCTTGTAAAAGCACGGGCGTGGAGAACCTCTTTTTTGAGGAGCGAATTGGACTTTGAAATACCCTTTTGGTGCGCCACATTAACACACCTCAGTAGCCACTGCTGAAATGCGTGACTTGAGGCAACTAAAAATATAAAGAGCGTTGCCAGGTCACAAATATTCCCCTTTTTAGTTTCAGTGCAGATAAGCGTTGAGTTCCAGATCAAGTTCATCACCCCGCTAGTCGAGTACAATCAGTAAACAACACGCCTTCTCGATAAAGACCCATGGTCTACTCTATGCAGATATCGACTGTTGTGTGTGCATTTCAGAGATTAAAAAAAACTGTACTTCAATATTAAAACTTACGACGTTTTAAAAAATAATGGCTTATTAAACTGGAAACATGATTGAAAACACACTGTAACATGCCAGAGTTCTGTGGTTTTTTTCTTTTGCTGCCTTAAGATTTATATTTTACCGTTACACGATGTATTCACAATGCCTTGTATCACGTGCGGTGGAAAGCACAGGCATCCTGTCGGGATCTCCGTCGCTGACTATTTAAGTGGAAACATGTTCAACCTGCATGGGGGACGTGTGCGAGCAATCTGTTGGTTGTTACCCTCGTCTGAAGGCACTAAATAATTGCGTTCAAATCGTATGTTTATATCACAAGCGTACAATAAAAAGAGGAATTCCGACTGCCGTTGTATGACGCTGTTTTCACTTGCAGTGTTTCTTTTTTAGTGCAGTTGCTGTAAACAAAATGCGCTTTACACACAATCGTCAAGAGTAAATATGAATGTCTAGAGGAGATGAGGTGGATGATAGAGATGAGAGGAAGCGAAGGAGGCAAATCTATGAAGATGCGTGAATTCGGTGAAAGCGAAATTTATAACAGGAAATGATGATGGATGGATTGAATGAATGAATGAATGGGGGAATGAGTGATAGCCGTGAAATGAGAATATGAAGAGGGCGCAGTGACCGGTGGCGGTTATGAGGGGGAGATTAAGGGGTCGTGGGGTGAGCTCGGGGTAACAATCCGTGAGTTTTGAGTGCGGAACGGAAACTCGTGAGCAAATGTGACCTGCTGAATGTGGAGGGGGGAGTTTGTTCTAGTGAAGGGGGTGGGCGATAGCGTGGATTAAGGAGAAGGAGGAACGGCGAGAGAAGGCAAAGATTGAGAAGGTAGAGGACTAGAAAACGACATAGACCGACGCAAGAGTGGCAACAGACGGTGGGGGCAAGACCATGACGGGATTTGTCGACCAGGGTGAGGAATGTCACCAGGCGATGCCCTCTTTTCAGCCAAGGCAATGAGATCATGGCAGCGTGCGTCGATTGCTACACATGTTATTGTTGTTGAGGCAACAACAATAACACGTAGCTTTGTGGTGTCATGTATTAGCACTAATAAAAGAGAAAATTGAAACATTGTAATGTATCTTCAATGTCCCTGTTAATGACTGTGAACCAGCACAGCAATGAAAAACCACACGTTCTCACTGACAGCGATTTGTAATGTAGTGTTATTGTTATCGTTTCACAAACAAAAACAACCTAATCCTTCAGGTGGTTTATTTCTACAATGCAAGGAGTATGTTATGTTTCGTGAAGGGAAGTTAGCATTCCTCTGATGTTTTTGGCACCACATAACATTCAATCCCAGCCTCGGAGAGCATTTTTGTTTTGCCTTCCACGGACATCTGAAGCACTAAAGCCCAAAACTGTATCGCGTGTTTACTTTCCCATTGATGTCCTTAATGTCCACATATCAGCTGTCCATTTTCTGTGTTGTCCAAAGGTTTAACTCGAGTGCCTTTGGCATCCATTGGAAACAACTCTTAAGTTAAGCAACGTCAAACGTTAATGTTGAAACCTATCTTAATGTTTCACAGGCTGACTGTCGAAATCTTTCTGGTGAGTGTCTGTGCACAGTTTACGGAACGTATTCTACTTCCCCGTCAGGTTACATTTGTTGAAATGTGATGATGGCCCGCCTTTTATGCACTCAATAAATACTTAGTTGATTAAAATGTCCGAGGTTTTAATCAAACAATGTAAAATATGTTGTCCACGGGAAATTTGTATCGTTGAAGATGTGCGTTTGATAATCGGAATATTTTCTTGCTTTGTGTGGAAGTTTACATTATGTGTTTAGGTATTTGAAAAAATAATTTAATCAAATAAGTTTCGTAAGTGAGCACTATTGACCTGTTTTCTCTAAGTTTCAGTACTGCAAAGTAACAACTTCTATTGTAGTTTGAACATGTAATTATTTCACAACTGTTTCCTCCTCTTTTATCATTTTTTTAAACTTTGAACATCACGTTTTTTGTGTCACGTGTTCAATAAAACAACAGGTTCAAATGGTAAAGGTTCAGCGTCCATATTAAGAGAGTTAGGTGATGTGTAACGAAATGCATGGGGCTGCTGACTTTTGATGATAGCTGCTTGATCTTTTGTCGTTCCCGTTCGCTCTGTTACTGTCTCACTCAGCTGTTGATGAATAATCCACGTGAATGAATGCATTCATGCGTCAGTGAAATTCCAAAGCCCTATCGTGAATAGTAGTAAATCTTCAGCACCGTGAGCTTTGAACTGAGACTTTGACCTAGAGATGTAGGTCCCCTTTTTTTGCAGTACATAAGCACTTGCAAAGTCTAAGTGTCCTTCACTGCTTATGAGTAAAGCATCCGTCGAGCTCGGAATAAATGTAAGAGACACACACACTCCAAATGCGTTTTTTTATCAAATGAACTTTAGTTTTACAGACACTTTAAGTTATCGTTTATTGGAAGATACTGTTGACAATGATGCTAATTAAATAGAAGTCTGCAGTGAAGAAAAACAACTCCAAACTCGTGCTTATTGCTTCTACAAGCCACGTTCTGAATGGTAATTGTATGTTTTCCTGCATGCGCTCGTGCTAAACGTTCCAACTTAATGGGAAAAGCTGGTACTTTTTCCAGGGGGTGATATACACCTTGGAATGGCCGTGTTACACCTGTGCCAAGTCATGAGTTGGAGAGCCATTTTAGAATGCTCCATTCCAGACAAGGGTAAGATACGAGTTAAGCTAATTGAGCACGAGACAGATTAATACTACACATGGCATGATTCTTATATATATGCACTGTATTGCTTGTATACATGAATGTGTATTTTGTAGACAACTAATTTCCGCCATTGCTATGTTGCAATGATAATACAATTATAGTTAAAGAAATGTCTTAAATGTGGTTACGCATCTAGGCGCTTTATGACATGTGTATTTATTTGGACTTCGAATATATAAATAGTGGTTTCAGAGCATAGGTAACGAGCGGCTGGAATGATGACATTACGGTAGTTTTTTCAAATTTAGGCACCTCATCGAAAATATATGATCTGGTGCTCGATGTTTAAACTATCAAAGTAGTTGTGCTGGGTAGATCCCCATGTCTTGTTGGTACATCCTCCTCGATATCACTAACGTCCCATGACAACACTCAACACCATCACAGTCATGTATGTATGTTAAACTTAGTATTTCGTATCGTACGTAGCCAACCGTGTCAATCGGAGATGCGGGGGAAGGATAATAAAACCAAACGCGAAAAAGCAGTACTAAAAAAATCAGTTTGTCAATCTAGATGATGATCTAAATAGTGCATAGCTCCAGTGGCTTCCTAATGTCGGATGGAAGAGCGTTCCAGACGGCCGCAGAAGCACCGTCTGTAAGCGCGCGACGCAAGCGCTTCCAGACGGTGCTTCATCCGCGCCTCCGGTCAGCACGGCGCGGCTACGCGCGGCGTGAAATACGTTCTCCGTGCACACGCACGGCCGCTTGGGCTGACGAGGAGAAGTCCCCTTCACTCGCAGCGCGATGCATCTCGTGCCGCTGCCACCACCCGCCGCCGCCGCCGCTGTCCTCATCCTCCTCTTCCTCGCGCTGGAAACGCGCGCGGCGCCCGTGCCCCCCGCGTGCCCGCTCCACTGCACGTGCGCACCATCCCCGGCCGCTGCCGACGTCCTGGCGGTGAACTGCAGCGGCGTGGGCCTCTCCTCCACCTCCTCCTCCCTCGCCGGGATCGACGCCGCCGCCGTGGGTACACTTGACCTGAGCCGCAACGGCGTTGCCCGCGTGGACCTCGCCCTCCTCGGCGGTCTCGCTGGGTTCGAGGTGCTCCACCTCGGCGGCAATGGGGTCGTGGAGCTGCGGAGTGGCTCACGGGGTGGGTGGCGACTGACTCCCTGGGGACGTGGGGTGTCTGGTGGTGGTGGTGGAGGTGGTGGGCAGCTCCTGAAAAACCTGAAGGTGCTCCTTCTGAACGACAACAAGCTTGACAACATACCCGCAGGTTTGTGTTGTTCTTATTATTATTGTTGTTAAAAAAAAGTTTATTACGCTTTTGTCGGTGACGTTCAAAGGACCGCGCCAGTGTCAACACGAAGAGCAGCAGATGAAACGAGTTGGTAAACATTGTGAGATGTCAGCAGGCACAATCATTTGACGTTGAGCTTCTAACGCAGTTTTAGGCGTATGCATAATCATTCGTATTGCCTCGTACTACAGCATAGTTTGCAACTTTTTAAAGATAACATTTTCCATAGCCCTCTTAAAATGCTCAACTCTTATCACGAGTAGCTTGCCTTCCTGGGAACTACCATGATGTTGTCGCCTTGATGGAGCAATGTCACACGGATTTCCTTAGCAGTATTTGCTTGCACAATCTCTTGTGTACGGTCAAAAACACCTCACCATACTGGCACCTTGCAGCCCAGATAAAATATAAATTATATGTGTACACTATGCCTGCCATTGATAAAGTAACCCGGAATACACGTGGTTTCGTCAAATCTCAAGGTAAGCAGGCGCTGAGCCTGGATAGTGCTGGGATAGGTGACCACCAAGCACAACGCCGTTGCTCTGGGACTACGCGGTTTGCAGCATGGGTCAGTAGTTGTACTGTGATTCTATGGTTTCACGTTGAAGCTCTCGACCTTCAGCATCTCACACAACCCAACACTGCGAAGTCAAACAGAGGCCCCCATTCAGCAGTGGACTGGACATGGCTGTACACTCGGGCTATAACAATGGGGCTATAACATTGGGATATAACAATGTTTTCCCTTTTGCGACTGGATCATTTGCCACGATTATAGATAGTCGTTTGATCAAAGGATTGTCTTCGTTTGTTTTACATTGTCGTGACATTTGGCCCCTCTAGTGCCTTCGCGTGTTACGTGAGATCGAAATATGCGGTGCAGCAAATTTGTGGTGGAAAAAAATGATAGGATGCATTTTAATAGCTGGATCGTTGCATTGTTACACCCCCCCCCCCTAACCAGGGCGCGATTTGATGGGGGCTTGGGGAGGTTGGGGATCTCCCTGCATATGTACCTTCAATTGTCATTAACCACTTGATGGGAATTTCTTATCAGCTTCAGAGTAGACAGAGACCATGAAAGAAAATTGCATGTACATTCAACTGCTTTCGCACTGTACGAAACCAACCGTGCTAATCGGAGGTGCCCGTTAATGTTCGTGATGTAATCATGGAGGTAGAGCAGTAGCGTTGTGGCTTGCAAGCTACACTAGGAACCTGGTGGTGGTGGTGGCCCAGATTAAATTTACTGACCACAGTGATGTCCTGCCCCCCCTGTTCACGAACCAGAATGGTGAAGTATGGTCAAACAAACCCCCATGGCTAGAGTGGTGTGGGGGAGTCCTTCAACCAGCAGTGGACCGACAAAGAGCAACCCGATTGTAATTGATGAGAAACACACACGCGGACTTGCGCTACAGCGCGGCCGTTTTATATAGCGTTGTTACTCATTCACCAATTGAATATTTTAGTTGGTTTGCTTGGACTCTGTTATCTTTCACCCATAATCTGAGGTATGCGAATTCACTTTAGTATCTTCTGACATCATTGGGAGTTTTATTGTCTTTTTGCCTTTTTTGCAATGCATTTATTGTGCCTATTTAACTTGCTTGAGAGGTATTTATTGTCTAAGGGGTTCACATAGTGTTGTGGTTTTAATGGTGATGTTTTTCTTGGCTTTTTTTCTTTTGCCACTGCTAAGTTTTCACCACATTCACGTGAAATCATGATCGGAACTTGGACTAAACTGCAGTTAATGGTTAAGCCAAGTAACACAACAAAAACTTGTTTAATACAGAGAAAAAAATACGTTGGAATGTAATGCAAAGGAAATTTTATTCCGTTGAAAATGTGAGTGAAAGGAGAAAGTGCCACTCGTGTATTTTGCCTGTGCTCTACAAAGTCCTCGTTTGTAGACAGGTATGGGAATATATAACGTACAGCAAGGGAATGTTCGTGAGTCTTTTGGAACAGACCCCATAACTCATACCACTCTGTATGGAGCCCCGTGGATTCTTTCAGTCCTCATGGGCAATCTGTTGGAATTCATCCCAACCTCAAAATCAGATGAACCCTCATATATTGCAGCGGGCCTTGAGGTACACTCGTATTATGACACTATACATTTTAATTCTGTAAACGTGAATGTATTTTTTTGGCTTGTTAAAAGAATGACATAAATAGTCTTGAGACTCAGCGAGCCATTCCTGTATAAAATATATTTTTGTTGAAGTATAATAATTGATATATCTGGCTTGGTAGCATGGTGGTTTGTGTGTGCAGCTTATATGAGTAAGGTTGCAAGTTCAAATCCAGGTTGGAGTTCCATTCAACACTTCATCCCTCACATCCGATTAGCGCGGTTGTCTAGGTACGGTGCGAAAGAAGTTCCACATACATACGTCCCTCTGGCTTCAATTTACTGTAATTAAGTACCGCTTTGTAGAAGTCCTATGGAGTGACACACACCCATTATAGGAATGTGGATTTTACATCACCGAGCCAGGTTCGTATAGGAGTAGGTACGCACCAAGCAATGTTAATTTTAACAGGAATCCAACATTAATTTTAAGGATAATTGCATAACATTATTGCAAAAAAAAATTTCTATGAACAAATCACCCAGAATGCACCTGATCCTGTCAGGTCTAGGAAGCTTAGCAGAATTTGAGCCTGGATAGTGTTTGGATGGGTCAGAAGACAGCGGTTTAACAATGAATTTTGTCGAAGAAGGCAGTGCAACAAAATCTGCCGTTGTACTGTACTATGCTCCAACGTATATGCTGCCCGCATTCACAAACCAGCACTGGCCGGCATGGTGACAGACACTACACTGTACTAGGTAAGGCCCACTGAGCTCTGTGTAGCTCTTTTTCTGAAGCGACATGGCCACAATTGATCTCTCAATGAAGTGGCTCATCATCACCACGTGAACATTTATAGCAACTAAATACCCGAAAAGCATGTTTCTAAATGCGGGGGAAAACTGAAGGACCCAGAAATAAATATACGCGACCACGGGGGAAAACATGCAAGCTTCAAATATTTCCTCGTCATGGTCAAGATCGAACCCACGACTTCCTGTAAACCAGGTGAGACAGTTAACATCTCGGCACCATGGCGCCCCCCATATGGTCAAACAACCCCCCATGACCTGCACGACCTGGGGAGGCCCCTCATCCAGCAGTGGAGCAACAAAAACATCACCCCAAAGTACATGCCATCGTAGTATCACGTGACTGTGTCTAGTTATCAGGGAGCTGACGTCACTGGAGAGGTTGAGCCTGGCGCATAACGAGATCGTGACGGTGCGGAGCGACGCTCTGCACACGCTGAGCTCCCTCCGTCACCTCGAGCTGCAAGGGAACCGCATCTCCCACGTGGAAGGTGGCGCCTTCCGGGGCCTCAGCGCCCTCACGGTAAGCAGATGCTCGCCCAGGCCCTCGGCTCCACCGTCCGTGGGCTCTTCGCCACCCACCGAAATGTTGTCTCAAGCAAACACAAATCTAGCCCGTTTGGGGAGGTCGCCAGGTGACGCCGCATAGGTCAGAGTGCTGAAATGAAACCGCCGAGATGTGGAATTTGGATAGAGGCAACCGGGACCTTTGAGTAATCAGCGCTCTCAAGGGCAGAGAGTTGATGATCTCAGTCCGCTCACCAGTGACTGCATAAACCAAAAACAGTGAAATGATTTTTAAACTGAATTTGGCAAAATTCCAGCACTGAGAATTCGATATATATCTATTTGACTGTCATGCCAAGAACATTACTCTCACTGACCGTGCGGAGCAGAGGTCACTTGAAGGGATTTCAGAGGTACAGTAGCTCTGTCATATCCACTTTCGCGGGACGTTCTCCAACATGAAGGGTCGCACTGCTCTGCGAGAGATCCGGATGGAAGCCGGGTTTCATGACGTGAGACCGATAACACAATCGGGACAATATTTAGGTGGATGGGGGGGGGGGGAAATAAAAAAATAATCGCTTGCTTTATTAATAGCAAGTACATTTCGTATTTGTCAGCAAATATACGTTCAATTCAAAACTCCTGCAGAAAGCAGTGCACCATCTTGTGTCTGAGAAGATGACACCTGAGAAGTGCTTCCGAGGTGTGCTCAGCTTCCTCTCATCCACACAACGTGTTGGTACATTCCTCACTTGGCAATCAAACGTTCAGTTCTAAGAGCTGCGCTATGACACGTGGCATGAAAACATAGACTAAATGTAATACGACGGTTGTTTATTGTCATTGGCGACTGGGCTGAGACCATCGCCTCGCTACACTTGAGTACCTGCGATTAATCACGGGCGGATGACGTTCAGATTTAAGCCCAGACTTTCAACTGTGCCAGCTCAGTTTTGTGACATAGGGATTTGGATGCCCCCTGGCCATGTCTGCTCCTTGGAGTTCTTACTCACGTTCATGCTGGAAGCCTGCGCCTGAGCAATTTGTGTGTGTCTTGTTTAAATGTTATAATTGCTCTCTGCCTAAACTACGTTTGGTGCGAAAGAAGTTCAGCATACACACATACATTAGGGCACCTTAGTTGTGGCTATCTAACCAGGACACTGCATCTAAGGTGGACCGAAAGAGTGACCAACATAGAAGTAATTCAACAGTTACACATAGAACGAGACAACCTGATGATGCAGCCGGTGCCGGATTATCCTAGTAGCAACAGTAGCTACCACAGTAGCTACTATATATGTAGCTACTATATATGCAGCTACTACATACGCTACGGGCCCCGCACTTTCAAGGGCCCCGCGCTAAATGCTTTCAAGCTATGAATTCCGGTTCAGTGATTCTGCACTTGCTCTATTACTATAGTACTATACTGCCTTCAACTTTTATGAACGACTGGGTGTTTAAGGTTAGCGATTTGTCGTATTATGTGGCTGTATAGCAAATTAAAAAATACAATTACTATGCAAGTAAAAATTTAGTGTTTTTATATTTACGTGTTTTTTTTATTTAGAGCCCCTTTATAACATATGCTACAGGCCCCGCACTAGCTTCATCCGGCACTGGATGCAGACAGTGGTGAGAAGGAAACTGGCACTATTTGGACACATCTGTAGGATGGACAACATCGGTAAAATTAAAGTGTGTTGTTGTTGTTGTTTGGAAAAATGTAAGGGACTGGAAAGAGAGGAAGACCGGATAGAGATTGGCTTGACGACACAAGGGATTGGTGCCAGAAAGATGTGGCCACTGTTCTTTGGGTCTTTCGGTAAAGTCACGTCGATAGGTTCAAAGAAAATAACAAAAAATAACAGAAAACTACGACGATTCGATCGCAACACAAGCGTTCGTCATCAGGAAGTCACGTAGATAGGTTCCTGATGACGAACGCCTGCGTTGCGATCGAAACGTCGTAGTTTTCTGTTATTTTTTTGTTATTTTCTTTGAACCTATCTACGTGACTTTACCGAAAGACTCAACGAATATGAATCACTGCAGTCACGAAAGCTTTAAGTCAAGATGTGGCCACTACTTGACTATATTGGCACAAGACAGAGGAAAGTGGAAACGAATGACGAAATGAGCAGTGGAAACCTACGGGCTGTCTGCCCAAGGATCGTGAGGATCATGAACCATGAGGAATTCCCCTTAAGTTCTAAGACTCACAACACATGTGATCATTCAAATTGTCAGCGTTGGCATCGCAGGCTTTGCAACCGTTTTCATCTTTACCTCTGCCGTCACAACCGCCACCATCACTCATCACAGGTATCGTTAGTGTCACAGTTGATCATTTTGAGGATAAGATATGAACGTTTCACAATCACGATAAATGTGGCACGAACACAACAATGTTTTATCCAACTAGTTTGTAATATCTTGATTTGAAGCTTTCGTGACTGCAGGAATCCATACTCATTGGTTCTTTCGGTAAAGTCACGTAGGTAGAAAAAGTCTGCCTCAGCAGCAGACCACCTGATGATGGACGCTTGTGTTGCGTCCGAAACGTCGTGATTTATTTTATTTTATGCCTACGTGACTTTACCGAAATAACCAGAGTATAGTTTGTAATATACTATTTTTTCAGTAATGTGAATCTACAAAATAAACTTACCATTAGGTTGACATTTTCTGGTGTCTAAGTGCAAAAACGTATTGTCACCCTTCAGTTGTAAGCTGTATTTGATGTTGCCACCTATGCTTGTCCAATGATCATAAAGAAATGTCCTTAACATGAATATTGTATCAGTATACAGCTGAAGCCTCGAGTGAAGTTACCTCACGCTCCCCCTGCAAATTGCAGCCACTGCATGTAAAACAAGTCTTAAACATGTTCATGAAAGTAAATGTTCACACGAAAAAAACATGCAATTGATGCAAAGTCATTTTATACGATCAAGGCTCAATTCATATGCAATTTCGTTTCCTGAAATGAGCGACTTTGTGTTATTTCAGTGGACACTTTTTCCCCCACCCCACTTAAAACATGTGGCTCAGCATGCCACAGCCCACTATAGGCTTGGCATTTAAACAAACCGCTCAAACTTTCATGGGCAGGAGCTGAACCTCGGTGACAACTCGCTCTCCACGTTAACACCGGACCCCTTGGCGGACCTCGAAGACGCGATCGGCAGGGCCAGCCTCTCCCTGGATCTGAGGGGCAACCCGTGGAGATGCGACTGCAGGGCGTCCGCCCTGCTTGGCTGGGCTCGGCAGAGCCAAGCGCGAGCCCGGCTCCTCCGAGAGGTCACGTGCTGGGGTCGCCCCGCCGGACGGAGCCTCCTGGCCGCCGAGGAGGATTGTGGGCGTCCGGGCGCCAGCGTCATCGCAGCAGAGGGCACCACCGCCGTGCTGCCGTGCGGCCCGGAAGAAGGTGAGCCATCTCGGCTTCCGCAAGCTGCCGCCCGTTTTCCTTTTGAGAGCCTCTCTCTCTCTCTGTCTGTCCCTCTTCGGCGGGCACCACGACGGCCGTGGCCGCAGATGTCGTTTTGTCCATTGCAATGGCAGCGCTGTCAACCCCTTATCAGTGCCCTGCCTCATTGCAGAACAACTCAGACCTTATTGGTCACCCCGTGCCCATTATAAATGTCAACGTTCATCCTGCAAAGTCTCATCACACGGGAGAAACACAAACAAATAGACACTCACCACCAGCACACTCACCACTGCATAGTTGTCAACCCCTTATCAGTGCCCTGCCTCATTGCAGACCAACTCAGACCTTATTGGTCACCACGTGCCCCTTATACATCTCAAAGTTCAAATCGACAAATATGTTGTTTTGCCCGTATTTAAACAGCGGGCGCTCGGTGGATTATTAAAGCCGGTGCTTGGTGGATGATTAATTGCAGGATTGTGAGAGAGGGCGACTTCTTGACGAGGCTTTCATCCAGCAGTGGATTGATCGAAACCAGAGTGCCTGCCGAGGGCAGAGCACTCAACCTTTGCGCACAAGTCTGAACCCTACTTGCTGCACTGCCTATGTAGTTGCTCAGTTGACTCGCATGCAGGTGTCTGAGACGCAGCGTGACTTCGTTATCCGCATCCTGGCTCCAAGCCTACAGTAAATTTGATACAGTAAATTTAGCTGTGACGGTCCCACCTGAAGACGGAGACTTGTGTTGCCTCCGAACCGTCGTGATTTAATTGATTTATTTTCATTTATTATTATTATTATTATTATTTTATTTCTATTATTTTTTTCCTACGTGACTTTACCGAAAAAACCTAAGAGCAGTTGTTCTTCACTAATTTTCAGAGGTGGGGGGGGGGGGATGTGGACCCTGTGGGGCACTTTCGCCGATAAGACATCGCCAGTGTGTGTGAGGGCCGTCACGCCATTTGAAACCATTGTGGGTTTGACAGCAGCACGATGATGACTCGTCGTGTATTGTCGGGGAGGCCGCACGTCGCGTGGCCTCACTGAAGGCCACGGGTCAGAGTTTGTTGCGAGCAATACCACAGCACATGCTCACATGGGTGAACGCACAGCCCTTTTAGATGTTATTGATTTCAGCAGGCGCGTCCTGCGACGGTACGGATGTTGTACAGTGTAGATCGTAGTTACATTCACGGTTTCATCGGTAAGCGAAACAAATAGCAAGAATTGGTACGTGCGGGATGAGGGCCTCCCTCCACTGTGTGGGTCGTGGGGATAATTTGACCGTTATTCACTATCCTGATCAGCGCTGGTTTGGTGAAGGAAGAAGCTTGGATATCCCTCGCCACTTTGTTAGCCGTGGCCGGGAATCGAACTTAGGTGAGGCGCAGTGCACCCTGATCGCTCTGCCAACGACTTCAGAGGTAAAAAATTAACCCGTAAAAACAAAGTTTTTCACTATAAATCCTTTATATGTGTGGCATCGGGGCGGCTAGAGTCCTCTCGTCCTCTGGCTTGAGATGGCTGCCACCTATGGGTCAGATGATTGTGTGCCAGCATTAACCAATTGGTAAATAAATATTTTGAAAAAAATCCCTAAACAGTGTAAAATTTAGGAAAAATTTTTTCACGAAAATTCATTGTCACGCACAACGAGTCTGTGTGCAAAATGTCAGTTCGATTGGATCTCGGGAAGTGGGTTAAAAAACGACTGAAAGATTTGCATGGTCCTAAGCAAGCAAGCGAACTTAATATAAAGGATTTTAAAAAATCTCACCTGCATTAGTTTACATGTATTGTGAAATGAATATATTATGCAAGCAATATATTTCTACATGTATGTCGTATCAGTGCCGCGTTAGTTAAAGCTACAAAGTATTTATGAAGGCTATGGTCAACTATTAAAAAAATCCCCCGTTTAGCTTTATGGACTATCAAATAAGACTAGGAACACATTTTAGGCAGATATAACCTAGGGGAAATCCAGTTACGGTGTAGATAGCAGTTGCTACTGGTGGCGAGTGTGGGCTGGAATTGAACCTCTATCAGTAGGATTATCGCTTAATCACTGCGCCACTCCAACAGTTGTGCGCGTGCACAATCCGTGTATCACATTCGGCTGTCAACAAAATGTATGGCGAAGAATAAAAAAAAAAGTCATACGTGTGATCACACATTTACAATTAAAAAGTCGGATATTATCGGTTTACAGAAGCCAAGCTGAGTTTGAGCCTGCTTTATAGACGGATTAGTGCCCACCGGGGTTTGCCAGGTGTTGTGGATATGGGGCTGTGAGATGGCAAGCAGATGCCAATGCTGAGTGTTACCTCCTCTTATGCACCGTTCTTTACTCCAGGTATTCTTTCTAGATTTGAAGCTTTCGTGACTGCAATGATTCATATCCTTAGGTTTTTTCGGTAAAGTCACGTAGGTAAAAACAATAAAAAGTAAAATAAAATAAAAAATAAAAAATTCACGACGTTTCGGAGGCAACACAAGCTTCCGTCTTCAGGTGGTACCGTCACAGCCACGACAGCTGTATCAAGTAAATGAGAGATTTCAGGAGTTACCACTGCGTTTATATAATGGTTGGAGAAGGTGGTGGGGCATGGGCCGCATCTTTATTATTAATATGGTAAGGTGAGGCTTGAGACTAAGATAGACTGCATAACAAAGGCTGAGCCTTATGGAGAGGTGCGGTTTGTGACTCAACCTGTAACAGGGAGACCAACACTAAACATGGTAAAACAGTAATGGTTGTCTGTCAAATAAGATTGGCAAATAAGTGTAGTTAAATCTTTTTTGCATGGTTAATCACATCTTTCCAATGATTACTCAGTTTGTAACCGTCATCACGGTTGAAATTATGTCTGTGTTTGTATATTTGTATGGCTTCGTGTACAAACCTTTGATGGTAGCCAGGAGGTTTGCAAAGAACCTTGGTCTCGGAAAATACAATTTCATGAGAGCCCACCGAGTTGTAGCAATGATCGGCAACGGCCGGTATTCTGTTTACCTCCCACATGCCAAACACGCATTCATGGAATTGGCCAAGCATCCCAAGTGAGTCTTTCCTTAGTAAATAAACGTCAGGATCATTTTGAGTATTATTTTTTTAATCAGTCATTCTGCCACCTCTCCTTGCTCTGAAGAAGGGGAATTCCCTAAAGCGTCCACCTACTGTATCATTTATGGCAGCGCTAATGACAAATGTGGAGAATGGTATTCCAGTTGTTTCCAACACCACACCGGTGTACCGTTCGGATGATTTGTCGACGTTCGATGCAGTGTGTTATCGGGCGCGTGCTCTCACTTTTAAATCAGTTTCCAGCTCACGCCGAAACCAGGTTTGCGATGGTGGCGCGCAATGACCGCAGGCGTTAGTGTCACAATTGACTGGCAGCCATGCAGTGCCGGCGAGTCCATCACACCATGAGGCAACGGTGTCATGGTCCACATGGGGCATTAGAGAAGATCATATCGCTATGTTCAGGACCGCCGCTATAACACTTTATGGCAGCCAAGCATTATAAAGACAAAGTCTACCCATCCACGGCTACGACCTTGCATATTTCAGCTGTCTTTGTGTTGCCGTAGCGACTTGGGGTTGACAATCTGTTGTTAAATGCGGTTTATAGGCGATTAAAGTAACGTATTTATATCGGCGTCGAAATGCGGCCGCATTCTTAAGACGCCGTGCAGAAGCGGTGGGAATACCTTCGTGTGTCCGTCGCTCCGGAGACCGGGAGATCCGGTGGCCTATCCGTCGTTGCTTTCTCAACTCGACGGAGCGGGCCGCGTTGAAGGGCCGTCACCTTCCGCTCCGCTGCTGCCGGCGCGCTTGCCTGGCTTGACCACCTGAACCTGAGATCCTGGTTGTTGTTGTTGCTGTTGTTGCTGCTGCTGCTGCTGCTCTGCAATCTACATCAGCAGCCGTACGGAAGAAGAAAAAGACGCGGGGATAATTGTTTTGTAGAGAGATGCGCGGTCACTCATAGGCAAGAGGTAAAAAAAAGGATAAGGTGTCTGAGCCTGGACTTGAGTTGGGGCAGGGAGTTGACAGCTGAGATGACCGGTGGAAGTGAGTCCCTGACTAACTCCCAGACTATGGGGACAGCAGGGTAGAAGAAGCGACCTCTTCATTAGTTTACTATTTACGTTTTTAAAGGCGCTGCAAACCCAACAAAGGGGTTCACAGCTCTGTACAGAGAGAGTCAGAGAGAGAGAGAGAGAAACACCTTTTATCTCGTTAACATATCAAATGAAATATGTAGCTTTTTTGGATTCTTTATAAATGGGTAAAATCTCAGCGGTCAGGCGCAATTTTTCAGGCAGAGAGAGTTCAAAATCTGAGGGCCAAGGACCGAAACGTTATTTTCCGAACGCGTGGCTGACTAATTTATTATTCGGAATGGATTCAAAGCAAGAGGTCGTAATTGGGCGTGTTAGGGGGGTACGCTTTACAAGTACGGCTCAGAATAGTTGAGAGGTGCAAAGCGGTGATAAAACCAGTTTGGCATTGGAACAAAGCGGCTGAGAATGTGATCACCATTGGATAAGCACGGATAAACACACTTCTTAGCAGTGCATCACTGGAATGGGGATCATAGTTATGCAAACCCACCCATGGCAACCTGGCACATATGTCGTGGGACCTCCATACAGACAGCTCAGTGGAACATTTTATTTTAGTTTGTATAAAACAGAAACATTCACAAGATAAGAACTGTGGAGCAGCCATAACGAATCAGTGTCTCTCGAAGTGACGTGAGTTTTACTCCGTTACTTTGCTGCATGTGCCCGCTTTACAAATTTTTTACAGTTACGGAGAGTTTTAGGTGGCATCAATGAATGTACATTTGGTGTATATATGCAATAAATGTATACTGTCATTATTCTACTGCCATTATTATACAAATACATTCATATCTTGAGGGTTGTATTGCCAAGGAAATCTTTTTAGAAAGGTCCTTTGATGCTCTTTGACCAATTACATTTGATAAATGATACTGTACATATACAAGAACAGTAAAATTCCACACAGACAAGGCAGCAGCCTACTTGCTGTGTTGCATCAGCAGATGGGCGTCTCACACAAGCCCCATCTGTGATGGACGTCTCACACCGTCAACTCATTTATTATTGCAGCGCACCCATAATCACCTCTTTCATCCTTTGTTCCCTGAAACAATACCCATATAAAACCAAATAACATGTACCAACATTTTAACTATATTAATTTAAAAAAATCTAATATCAGAGATGTAGTATCAAAGATAATTGAGTAATGATGGGGCTGGCTGGGAGTCTGCATAATGGGCAACGGGTGTAGAGGTACAGTAATCCCCCTTTCACGTCGTTTGGCAAAGACGTCGTCACTTTATTAATACCACGACCCCGATTTGCGTCGTCTCAACCCCACACTTACGTCGCTGACAGCATCATCGTCCGTGCTTTCTCGTATCTGTTGCCTCTCAGCCTTCCATCCCACCACCGCCGCCGTACCCTGTAAATTGGCTTTGATTGACGCCGTTTCGATATGAGTCGTCGCGCCTTTCAGGAGCGCACCCCCCGACGTGAACCGGGGTGCAACTGCCGCACTTACGCTTCGTCACGGCACAATCGTCTGCACCGACCAGCACGCACGATGTGCGGCAGGTGTAGTGAGTGGAGAGGCCGCTGATGGGCGCAGTGGACAATTGGGAGTGAAGCGATGAGTGGCGTGACCGGCGGGGAGCTCCAGAAAGACGAGAGGGCTTCTGATGCCGGGGCTGCAGCTGCCGTGGCCGAATGTTGTTTTATGGTGGTTGAAATAAACAATACGTAGTCTACAATCTCGACTTGGTGAAGTCCTTTCACGTTTTTATATATAGATATATAAAACGAATTTATAATTCCAAAACACGAGTTGGGCAGATCGAGCATCAAGCCGTCACGTACAGATGTGTAAAATAACCATTTCACGATTCCAATTCGCGACAGGCTTTTTTTCTTCTCTTGAGATGAAAGGCAGACGTTTCATCGGGGAAAATTTCACCGGAGTGGGAACCTGAAACCAGCTTTGTAGATGTGTACGCAACACACCCGCCGGCGGCATAGGGTGGCCGACGTGCGGCCTCGCACGCGGCATGCGAAGGGGGTCACGTAAACGGTGCGCCGCCTCTCCGTATCCCAGTGCCTTGGGTCCCGCCAGACCAGTGCAGGTGCACACTCAACAGCGATACCACTCGCACTCATGCACAATGGGCGTGTGTATTAAATACGTACTTTGCTCACTCTGTTTTGCAGGCATCGGGATGGTGTCGTGGTTCGTGTGGCACATTAGGAACATTCGCAAAACCGGATTTCCCATGTGCAATGAATAAAGGCCATTGGCCGAAACGTCGCCAATTATGCAGTGTTATTGACGAATGTGTTGACTTTCGGTTTGCGATCCATTTGACCTCCCAGCGCGGCGATTGAAACGACAGTCCAAGTTTCTTCACCCCTCCCTGGCTGAGTCCACCCGGCAGTATGAATGGGGACACCGCAGTTCGTCGATCGGCCAGCCGCACGTGGTGGGGTATCGCGTTGGGACACCCACCACCTCTTACCAAGAGAGTAGACCAGAATACCCACTAGGAGGGCTCTCCAGTGCTACCTCGAGCAGAAGCCATTCCGCCAACAGTGCTGCAAGCGAAGCAATTTCCTGGTCTGCCCCTTTACCCCGTTTTTTTTTTGTTTACTTTTATTCACAGCCATGGAGGTTCTCTACTGGAGGACTCCCTTGGGGCCCGTCGACGGCGAACGAGACGGCGACGGAGGCCGCCCGCACGTGGACCGAAGCGGCGCCCTGGTGGTGCCGCACGCGAGTGTGGAGCACGAGGGCCGGTACGAGTGCGTGCGCTGGAGCGGGGCCGCCAGGGACCTCGCGCCCGTCCACCTGCTCCTCTCCGAGCGCGGGCACCGGCGCGCCCGCTCGGCGGCCGGGGAGCCCAGGGCCGCGTGCGCGGTGTCGCAGGAGCAGTTTGTGCTGGCCGTTTCCCTCTCGGTGATCATCACGTTCCTCGGCGCGTTCGCGTTGGGCGTGTTGGCTCGGCCCTACGTCATGCCGCTGTTCTCCTGCTGCTCGAGGAAGCCCAAGGAGGGGCGGGCAACGGACCGCAGCGCCGCGGCTCGCGACAATCCGGCTTTCTCGGACGACGGCGTTCAGGGGCGGCCCACAGGCGACGGACGGAAAGGCGCAGGTCGCAAGAAGGGCGTGTGGCTCTTCGGTCGGAGAAAAAATGAAATCGCCGAGCCGAAAGTGAAATTTTATTCGGAGCCACCGGGCGCCATGCTGCATCGTGAGGGCAAAGCGAAGGTTTCGCGGGCTTCCTCCAGCTCCAACTCCTCTCAAGGTCCCTACAGAGACACGCACCTCCCGGGCATGGGCATGGGAGCTGGCGGCAGGAGAGACATTGATAGCACAGATTCCGCGATAGGAAGCTCCCAGACAACCTACGAAAATGTGCAATTAAACGCGCATGGCCATGCGAAACCTCAAAAACCCGACTCGGATTCTGACTCTGATACGAGCTCTAGCCACAACTCGTTTGTGAACGTCAACGTGCAGCCACTTGGGCACATCAACCCGGGAAGGGGAGTGGGGCAGCCTGGGCACCTGAGCCAAGTTTCCGGAGGCATGGGAGTGAGTCACGGTGGTAATCGAGTTCCCACGGCTAAGTTGAGTTCCCCAAAAAGGTTGGCTCCACTACCTCCAGCAAATGTCTCTCAGACGAAATCGCCGGCACTACAGCTGCCATCAAAGGAGAATTCTGGAGCAATTGCAGGTGCCGTGAGTGTGGCCGTGCTTGGTAAGCCCTCAGAGGTTGGTGCATTGAAGAGGTGGCCAGAGTCTGAGAGGTACAATGATCAATTGCAGGAGGAGCAGCACAATAAGCCGCAGAGCATGATTCCTAAAAAGCCTCCCAGACGTGAACACAGTGATTCCACGTCCGACTCAGAAAGCGATGAGGGAAAAAACGTGGTCCCTGGTCGAGCCCATAGTGGCATGATGCGTCCTGACAAAGCAAAAGACTTGGAAGAAATATCTCTGTCGTCAAATTACGTTGTTCACATTGATGGGGTTGACACGGGAGAAACTGAATGCGATGCTCACATCGATAGCCCCGTGGCTCATGGATCTTCTCAAAAGAATGTCGGACAAACAGGTGGGCAGGATGCGAGCCAAACTCAGGGGATGCATGCGGCTCAGCCCGCCAGACGCAGCAGTTCCAGCAGTGACGACTCATCGGACACGGACGATGGCAACGGTGGCGTGGCTCTCCCCGGCGGCAAGGCCCCTGTGGTGGCGCCCAGATACGTTCTACAGAGAAGCTCCGAGGGCGGCGAGTTTCCACCCAAATCTGCGGCGGCCGCACAAGGCAAGCTGGGCCCGCAGGCCAGCGATGCCGCCGCCGCTGGTCAAAGTACGCCATCGAAGCGTTTTACGTTCGCCAAGCTGAAGGCGGCAATGAATTTAAAGGTGATGTTGCCAACGTCGAAGAAGGAGAAGGGAAAGGATAAAAGCAAAGCAGAGGCTCAGAAGAAGGAAAGCGTTGAAAGCCAGTCGTCGGGAGACAGCAGTTTGGAGGATGGAGATAACAAACCGAAGACTGCTACGGTGAAGGTCGATGTCGAAGACGGCAAGCAATCTAGTCCTTCTTCATCGAACGCTTCAGAACAATCGAACGATAGGGCTAAGGATTTGGAAAGTACACTGCGTGCACCAGTAGCCCAGCATGGCCCGCAAGGGGTCAGTCTGGCTGTAAAAGCTCACCTGGGTAAAGGGGATTCACAGTCACTTAGCGACAGCAGTGAGTCCGATGATGACCGACGTGCCTCGCACCTCGGAGACGGAACAGCGAAGGGCTCTTTGATATCTGGACACGCGAAATGGCCAACAACACAGTCACTACACAGACTTGGCCGTGGGGAGGACAGCGAAGAAGATGCATCTCCTGGCACGAGTAGCATGGATGGGCGAGTCGCCAGCTCATTACAGGTGGCATCGATTTTGGGCCAGGAGAGGCAGACGCGTGATGATTCTCACTCCGATTCCAGCGATGGTGGTCAAGCAGCGAGCTCACTGCAGCTCGCAGCATCTCGGGGCTCAGAGGGACCGACGCTCCACAATTCTCACTCCGATTCCAGCGATGATGGTCAAGCAGCGAGCTCACTGCAGCTCGCAGCATCTCGGGGCCCAGAGGGACCAACGCTCCACAATTCTCACTCCGATTCCAGCGATGATGGTCAAGCTGCGAGCTCACCACAGCTCGCAGCATCTCGGGGCTCAGAGGGACCGACGCTCCACAATTCTCACTCCGATTCCAGCGATGGTGGTCAAGCTGCGAGCTCACTACAAGCGGTGGTGACGCGTGGCCAGGAGAGGCAGTCGCACAAGGAATCCAGCTCTGATTCCAGTGATGCTAGGCAAGCTACCGGCTCCCTACAGCCGGCGAGATCTCGGGGCCGGGAGAGGCAGAGGTGGGGCAATTCTCAATCCGATTCCAGCGATGACGGGGAGAGGCCACCGCGGGGCCGCACGGGGCCTCCGCGTGGTGACACAGAGGGCAGCAGGCACAGGCAGGACGATGAGCACGAGGTCTCGCCATCACCGAGAAGCAATCTGTTAGCAAACACGTTGGCGGCGTGGCCTACAAAGAAACCGGACATCCTCGGAACACGACGCGGACAGCCACGTGTGTCTGTGTCCAGCACCAGCTCTGACGACGAATCTGTGGAGCGTCCGGTGCCGCAGAAGCAGCAGCAGCAGCAACGGGCCACTGTCACTCCTACGGCCACCCGAAACGTTTCGGCAACACATGAGCTGCACACTCAGTGGGGCTACTCAACAAAAGTTGACTTTGATGGAGGGGGTGCATTGGGTGGTGCTACCAAGGCGGCGCCATTCGAGTCGAGCTGGACAGTCTCATCGTTCCTAACGCAGGGTCGTGACGAAGGAGCAAGTGACCCGACTGGCGTTGCGCAGCCACACGTGACGCTCCAAACAGAAAATGCTTTTGGCTTCAGCGAGGCTTTGTCCTCGGCCCTGCTGATGGCACCAAAGGCTGGAGAGAAGAGCGGCGTGTTCTCATCCGACGCGCTCCTCTCGCTCACGAAGCGGACAGGTCGACGGGGAAGCGACGACTCCTCCTCCTCCTCTTCATCCAGCGGAGATGAACAGCTGAGATCAACGAGGGCACGGGCAGCCAAGCCGGACCTGCTCTCACCTCCGCCTCCTCCACTACCGAACGCTCCTCCACCTGGTGATGAAATCGATCGAGGCGACAACGACGACGACCACGATGGTGGTGGTGCTGGTGATCAGGACTTCGAGTTTGTGAGTCTACCCAAGCTCTCGGTGTCGCTGAGGCTCCCAGGCTCGCAGAGCGACTCGTCGACCGAGGAGTTTATTAGTCGCCAGCTCACGGCGGGGTCCAGCAGCAGCCTCAGCGATGGCGACTTGGGATGAACCCCGTCACGGTCCCCATGCACGGACGTTGGGAAGCGCTGCGCGAAAATAAGAGATCAGACAGCGACATTGGGAACACACACACACATACACTACTCTCGATAATGACGCTGTCGACAAAGATTAGGCAAGAATAATATGCACTTTTAAAACATTGCCGTTTCAAAGCCACAGGCTGCATAGTATTTGCCATAGAAAGCAAAATAAATTCTTCTGAATGTTAACATCAAAGGGTAGTTTATATTACAATCAAGTGATACTTGTTTGGGCAGGGATTACGCTGACAAGAAAAAATGCTGATAAAATAACTCAACCTGCTGGAGTTTCCTTCACGTTCAAGCCAGAAATATCAAGGTTTTTTTTTTATTAATGCAGTGATTTATTCCATGAAGCTTGCTCTTAAGGCTCTGTCCTGATACACGTGGCAAATGCCAAAGCAACCCAGGTCACACCTTGCTATAGATATATATATTTTACCAGATGTCCTCGCTACTAAATTATTACTCAGGTGGTCATGCACAAGGGGATCTCCAAAAATATGCCGGTTTCACTGGTCGCGGTTTATAGTTCCATATCGCGGTGGTGTCAAGACCTGCAACCTTTACCTCCACAGCAGCAGCTTGGGCTACAGCTGAGCCACAGAGCCAAACTCCACGCCTGCCACTTTAAGGGTTTTTTTTTCTTTCTCGCGAAATTGCTATCACCCAAAACACATGTGAGATAGTCATCAAACTTCATAGAGGTTGTATCATATTTCGTATTGGATCTAACAATAATGGCCCATTCATGGCTGTTGTTCATTGTAATCATACCTCCAAATTAGTGTCGATACTCAAGTTAAACTGTTGCAAGGTAAAAATGCGATTTCACAAATGAGCGTAAAAATGTTGCTAACAGAGATAATTAAAGCGCTTACGACGTAGACATGTTTTATATTTTGTCAAGATTTTGGAAAACCGCAAGAGGAGATTGACACGAGTGTTGTTTTTTTCATCACAGTGTGAGATTATTCAAATGAAAGCACTCTGTGATGCAATTTTTTAGGTTGGAATGTACAACGGATATTTTGTATGTGTGTGGTACATGGCAGCGATGTAGCACGTGTACCCTTGTGTTTGGTTCATTCCGTGGTGAGTACACAAGTCTGCAATGCACGGTGACTAAATACTTTATCCCGTTGCAATGTAATATGCACTGTTAGTGACAATCAGCATCACTTCAAATTACGTTCCACATTCTGAGAATGTTTTACAGCACGGCAAAATTATCGTGTATCGCTTGACGTCACTCCATTACGGAATATCACAATTAAACAATTAAAAATATTGATTGATAATTATTCTTGCTTATAAACCATTTGTCTGACGCCGATTTATTGAATTCCCGTCAATAATCCTATGACCACATCACGCCACATAAGCCCAATCTCGTCTCATCCCGGAAGCTAAACAGAGTTGACCCTGGACAGTACTTGGACGGGTGATCACCAGAGCCTGGCAGCTGTTGTAGGGAAGGGGCTGCGATGTGACCACGAGGTGGCAGTGTCACCTCTTCGGCATGTGCCATGCGGTGGGTTTATTGGCCTTTATTCTGCATAGAGAAACACATTCATGAATGGCAATGGCCAAACGTGCCAGATTGTGACCCTCCTTTAAAAAAGTATTAAGAATTAGTGAGGTTTTCATGGGTAAATAACAGCACGGAAATTTGTTTTATTACCTGACATCATATAATGCCATCTAAGGGGTGACATTGAAACGCAGCAAGAATAAACCCTACGGCTAAAAAACCATTGAAGGTTGTGACTTTATTTATTTAAATTTGGAACGGTGGGGGTCACGACAGGTCGTGGAAAATCAAAGCGCAGGGTGCTTCCACGGACCATGAAACAACTAAAAAAAAGTGGTGGAACATCTGCGGAGAGACCCCCTCGCGTGCGTGGCCCGTGCGTGGCATGTCAGCCCCCCCATCCACCCACCCACCTCCTTGCCCTTATTTTATCCCCACTCCGGTGAGCAAGAATGACTGTACGTTCCGTCAGCCGTAAATCACCGCCGTGTTTACTGCCGGGAATCGAGGTTCGTGTCAGCACGGGGACGGGAGGCCGGTAAAAAACAGCGCGCGGATCGAAAAACAGCGCGCGGGCTAACAAAGACAGGAACTGCGAGGCACGCGGCGAAGACGTGACGGGAGGTTCACACCAGACGGCTGGGCCCCTTCGTCTGCGCCTGCCACTGTGGAGCCACGGTGGCCAAACAAAACGTCGCTTTTTCAACACATCCACGGCCGCCACATCACCACCACCGCCGCCACCACCACCCTCCCTCTTCCCTCTCCAACTCACACGGGGTTCCTGTTTACAGAGGCCACTCTTTCCTGTTGTGAGCGTGCCCGTGTTGTCATCTCAAAGCTATCGGCCCGTGTGCGTCTGATCATGTTATGTTTGTCTACCCCCGCTGGAAATTCCAGCTTTTGTGGCTGTTGTTCGTGGAAGAGGGCATTTGCCGGCGCCCGCTGGAAGCTGACCGGAGCCGCTGTGTGGGAAATAAATTGAGCCATTGATCTGATTTCATGGAACATTTTATGCAGACGTGCTTAAATGTAGCTGCCAGCTTGTTTTGATCTTGAGTGCATATACAGTATTTGGATGTCAAGAAATTAAAGGATCACCCACTGCCAGCAGTTTATGCGAACCCACCGAAATGCGCCTTGAACCAGTTTTAGAAGTCTCGTCGTTTACATGGTAAGAAAAGTCATAAAGAACTTAATATGGTCATTTCGGTTTGCTCCAAGAGGTGATGCTACATGAGTAGGTGCATGACTTACTAATTATTAACAAAATATATATTTTAAAGGGATCTGATGAGTCGGGTATGTTCCATTTTTAAATCCTTTATATTAAGTTCACTTGCTTGCTTGCTTGCGCGCTTACGACCGTGCAAATCTTTCGGTCGTTTTTTAACCCACTTCCCGTGATCCAATCGAGCTGACGTTTTGCACACAGACTCGTTGTGCGTGACAATTAATTTTCGTGAAAATTTTTTCCCAAAATTTTACACTTTTTAGGAAAAAAAGAAAGATATTTAATTACCAATTGCTTAATGGTGGCAGGCAATCATCTGACCCATAGGTGGCAGCCATCTCAAGCCAGAGGGCGAGAGGACTCTAGCCGCCACGCATATAAAGGATTTATAGTGAAAAACTTTGTTTTTACGGGTTAATTTTTTCTACATGTTTTCATATAAACGCTGTAAAACGTGCTTGATATTAAAACAATATTTGTCAGTACTTTTTCAATTGTAAATGTAATGTGAAAGTGTTTTACCTTCCATCTGGACAACAAGCCATGGTGTAGTTCTATAGCTCTATCCAGTAGCATGTGAGACTCTTCCAAGGTCACACTTCACCATTGCTTTTAATTTGTCGTACATTTGGTAATCGTATAGCTAACAAGACGCTGTCGCAAAGGAGATATACAGGGCGCTTAAACAAATGTTAACACTTATATGGGACTATCGTTTTTAACGTAAAAATAACGGCTAATAATACACTGTAACATGATAACAAATGTATTTTTACAGCTTCAAAAAGGCAAAGAGTCTCCACTCGTTCGCCATCGTTGTCAACACGTTGCCTGGAATCTTTTCCAGGTGGTATCCAGAGCCCGGAGGCACATTTCTTGCGGTATTGTTGCCAGTTCTCAGATGTGCTAACATCTTTTTGAAGCACCCTGCATTTCACAGACGAGCATAGTCTGTCAGTAGGAGGTGACGTTGCTGTTTGGTTTTACCCAATTAGGTAGATCTCCACATGTGGTGAATGTTGCCACCCAGTGCACCTGGGACCAGCTCTCTTTCGTAATGACGTCCCGTGATCTTTAACGTCCGCCCTGAAGCGGGCAGCGCGCCATCGTGATCCATAGGGCGGCCACTGAACTCCAACCACGAACATCTTGCAGCGACCGCCAAGACAAAGACAAATCTCCCCGTGTAGCTTGTAACAGACTGTTGGGGCAAGTGCTGTTAGCGAGTTAGCGCCTATGAAGGCCGGCACGGCACACGAGGGGGTCGGTGGTCAGCACCACGTCCAGCCGCTTTTGTCTCCCGAGGTGGCGGACGTTTACACACCACACCATTTGAGGCTGAGTCGACCTAGGCGAGGCCCAGGACCAGTTCAGATAATCGTCACTGGTGTTGACCGTGAGCTCGAATCGAACTCGGATCGTTGGGTTCGTAGCTCAGCGCGCTCACCGCTGCACGACCCCCCGTGTGCTCAAAGACGCACTCGGCGTCACGAGTACCTTTAACAGTCAGTAGAGGGAGCTCTTAAGCTCTTCACCGTCCATTTCTTGACAATCTCTTGATTCCCTTCCACTAATAGACTCACAACCATCTTAAACTATCACACCCGGCCACGCGCGCGCACGCACGCGCACGAGGCCTCGCTGGGAATTCAACTTGCAATGTAAAGTTACGAACACGGCCGTGGCCAGGCTGCTTCGCTGTTCTCGCTGTTTCCATAGTGGATGTCGTCGATTGTCCCAATCAATCAAAGAAGGCGTCAGCCTGAGTCGACGTTGTCATCGCTTCAGTAACGCAACCTGAATGTCTGGAATGGAGCGAGCTGGGGATAACGCTTGAAAAGTTATGTAAACAGGTCTTAGGCAGCACGGAGATGAACTCATGGCAATTCCACAAACACAGTGCACGTACTTTTTATTTCTTTATTTCAAACGTGTGTTTTGCCTGGTTCACATGGGCACACAACGCAGTCCCCACTGTTCCCTGTGAGCCGAGCCAAGGCGTCTTCCGTCAGCGAGAGTAGCAGCGTACTCTCGACAAGTGAAATCATTCGAAGGGAACTGTGGAAAAAAAGATATTGAAGCAACGCCGCGCCAGCTGAAAATCCGCTTGCGGCGCCGAGGCTGAACAAATGGAGATGAACGAATCGGCCGACACCGCCGCCGCTACTCAGCCCGACGTGAGCGAAGAGCCGGCGACGTTGGGTGAGGAATTTCGTGCAGGCGTCAGGACGCGAGCAAGCCGGCGAGCCAAGAGGGCTGCGTGGTTCACTTGCCCGACCGCCTGCAGCGTAAAATTTAAAATATAAAAAAAACCTGCGGGGAGAGAGAGAAATGCGAAAAAAAACTGTCTCAGACTCTCGCCCAGACGTGACTCAGTCGCCGTTGAAAGTGCGCCTCTCTGACATTCAGGAGAGGTGGCGCGTTGCTTCAGGAACGCATTTAGCACGTGGGTGGGTGGTGGTGGTGGTGGAGAAATTGTTTATTTTATTTTGAAGGGAGTTCCCCAGTTGTTTGGGTCAAAACAAAGCCAAGGCCCCTTTGCTCGCAGACACGTTGCGCCGAGGCTCTTTGCAGGACACGAACGTGGAATTTGAAATGTGGCAGCCGGTTTTGTGTGACTTCTCACCCCACTGTGTGCAGCTGTGGAGGTGTATTGCTGCAGTGCAGAGCTGCGAGAGATGGCGATGATTTAGGGAGACCTTCATACAGCAGTGGATCGGTCATGGACGATTATGATTCGGTTGTAACATGCTGCACTGAGCGATCCTTGCATGGCTACAGGGTGCACTTTGATCAAAACCCAACCTCGAAATTGCTCGCTCTCACCCAACACCTCCGTATGACCACCTGTTCTGAAATGTTTAGGCAATTCCTTGATTGTTTTGTGGCATTTCCTCAGAGGTCACGCTGCAGGCATGCACACGTCATTTGGTGGGGTCGGGTCGGTGGGATTTGTTACACAGTTTCCAATGAAGGGATTTCAATTTTGGAGACCAAACAAGTGAGGTTAATTCAAGACGAAACCTCGCACCAAATGTGGATTTGTGAGAATTGACTCCATGATCGGCAGACGTTCAGCCATCTACATGGTGAGATCGTGAGGGATGGTGGGAGCTTGGGAAGGCCGTCATCCAACAGTGGATTGACCATGGCTGCTGCTGATGACTTCATGGTCATATACTGGTCTGAGTTTCGGTAACAAAGTGCTTTAGTGTTTGGCATTGTTTTGTATCATTAGCTGCTGGCAATACAAGTCTGCACGGGTGTAACACGTCTGCCGACCTGTGTTCAACCACAAAAACGTGAGACATTCTATCGTGATTTATTGGATAATTGTTGTCAGTATCTCAGTCTTAATTTGATGTACATTTTAGCGGTCACCTGTTAATCATCAAAGATCGTATTTGCGTTTTGTAAAACCACTTTCAAATAATTAAAAACAGGTCTCAAAGGTCATCACCAACCTAAGCCATAATACAGGAATCCATCGTTGAAAAAAATCCACGGAATCTTATTTTGAAGTGGTGACATTTAATTGTAAAGTGCCTTTTATTGTATCGGCAGCAAGAGGAGCACGTGGATTAGAGAACATCCAGAGGTCAGTGACAATTAGACTTGTTCAGAAAAGTAAGCGGGGGGAGGGGGGGACACAGGACACGGCGCTAAGAAGCGATTGTGGCCGATGGTCAAAGACGAGCGAGAGAGCGGAAGCCAAGGAGTGGAACTCATCTGCGAATGTGTCCCATGTGGAGATGGAGCAATGGAATTATCTCGTGTGCCGTTGCTCAATGGATTGTATTACATCCGCAGCATCTTGAAAGATGGTGGCAGGTTTGGGGAGGCTTTCATCCAGAAGTGGATTGACCATGGCTGATAAATATGGATACAGTGGCTTGAATGCAGCTTTAATTAGCATTTGTTTAATTTTTAAAGCTTTTTCACATTTCTCACAAAAACAACGCACCCTGGAAGCCAATGAAAGATTCGTGTTCGTAGGTCAGTTTAGGAAAAGGTTTATAAACAAAGGCTATTCGACCAAAAAATAGCCCCATTGTTTGTTATTTTACATTGGCCAGTAATGGTGAACATTAAATAAACATTGAACGTGAATTTAGCATTTCATTTGGTTTGGCTGACCCAGTTTTTGAGATCTGGACAGCTTCTGACAAGAGGGCATTTTCTTTAAAACCCGCATGAAAGGAGTCACTCTCCCGACAGGAAATGGGTGAAAATTAAGATTTCCCTGTGAAAAAAATCTGCTTCGGCATGGATCCCCCTACGTTATTAAATTATACCCAAGTGTTTCAATGAAACAATTGTGTGAGTGTTAACATTTTACCTTTTTTTAAACTTTCAGGAAGAATCACACACACACACACTAAAAAAAAAAGCAACCACAGTTTTATATTCAACTCTTGCAGGTATAATCGCCAAAAATGTGAAAGCATTCCAAAACGTCAATGAGAGCGCAAGGCAAAAACAACTCAAAGTTCCATTGGTGCAATTCTCTGCTTGTTATTCTTCAAGCAAAACAGCTTATTACGCGGGATAGTAAATATTGATCGTTTGATTAAATTTAAGAGATTAGGCCCGTTAACCTGGAGCGAGCCTCCGAGATGCACAAACCGATGGGCAGATTCTGGAATCGGCCTTCTGCCTCATTCTCTTCTTGTTCAGAGGAAGCTCGAGGCCCCCCCCCCCCCCCCCCAGCAGTTACGCGCTGTGAGCACGCGTCCCGACACGCCACGTGTTTATCGAGCCCCGATATCGCGCGCGTGCGTGCACACAGGGACCCCTGTGTGTGCACGCGCGCGCGCTGAAAGGACGGAGCCCGCTGACGCCTTGCGGGAATTGGGGGGGGGGGGGGGTGAAGATCGCTGGGTGGGGAGGGAGGGAATGGAAAAAATGTAATGGATCATGTTTTTTAAACTATATTATTTTTATTGTTTTTTTTGTTGTTGCTGCTCCGGGACACCCAACATAGTGCAGACACCCACAGAACAGTCGGCCCACGATTCTAGCCATCGCGGGCTGCACCTACACCTCCAGTACGAGCGATGGCATTTCCTCTGGAATGGGTTGGGGTTGCGGGCAGGGAGCGCTGATGGGTAGGGCTAGGATGAGGTCTCGCTTCAAGGTGCGGTCGTGTCAGCTCAAGTGTGCCTTGAACAGAGCCGGCCCAGCCACTAAACGACCCTTGCAATTGCAAAGAGCCCCGTGGCCAGCAGAGGGCTCCCTAGAGTCACTGCTAGCTAGTGGGTGAAAAAAATCATACATCAAAGGGGCCTCCAACCAGATTTTGCTTAGGGCCCCCAAAGGTCTAGAGGCCGGCTTCTGGCCTTGAACGTCGCATTTCCACAAAATGTACACCTTATAAAGCCACCTAGCGTTGCAGCACTGTTGCTTTTTTGTACTTGAAAAAAAAGAGATGTACTGGTGTACAGTGTGATATTCTTGCCACACCTAATTGATTTTTTCACATTCTCCAAATGCTGCCCTAACTGCACTTCGGCTACTTTGACATCTTCACTGGAACTCCCTTGCTCCGCACGATCCACCACGTGGGTCCCCTGTGGCCTATGCACTCATCGAAGGCTAGACACTGAGAAGTTCGCGTGGCTAACAGCGTCTTTATCTGTTCACAGCATCGTGGCCTTCCCGGTAAGAGAAAATCCTGGCTCTTGTGGCTCTCAGCGGTTGATCCACTGCCTCCTTCATTATGTTCAACAGAATATGTGACATTGCCTTCCCAGGCAGTGATAACAAATACATCTCCAGGTTGACCATATGCTTAGATAATCTTTCTTCAGTCGTGAGATTACAAAATGCCATCCCTACAATCTCCAGGTGAATGTAGTGGCATTTGTTAATGCATGGAGCTATGTCAACTCATTGCAACATACTGCGTACAAAAATGACATCGATGAGTACAGAGACGATGCAATGCTTAAAAATAAATATAAATCGATTAATCGATTCAAGATTAAGGTGCAGCCCTGCAACAGTCAGCTCAAGCCAAGGCTGGCGAAATGACCTCCTCTAGCGGGAGCTCTCGTGGGTACAATATCTAGCCTACTCTTCCACGCTATCAGATGTGTTGAAAGAGGTGG